AACTCTCACCAAACACACAGTCAATGAACGCGAGCAAGGGTTGGGAGTTCACAAAGGGAAAGCACAAGCCAAATGGAGCGAAAAGCAGTTGCAAAAACTATGGAGTGCTGCAAGGCAGAAAGCACCCCTGTCTCTCCTGCTCCAGATTCAAACAAATGAGGCACTGCTCAAAAAATTTCCCAGGGTCACAGAATCACAGAATGTTCAGGGTTGGAAGGGACCTCTATGGGTCATCTAGTCTAACCCTCCTGCCGAAGCAGGGTCACCTACAGCAGGCTGCACAGGACCTTGTCCAGGCAGGTCTTGAATATCTCCAGAGAAGGAGACTCCACAATCTCCTTGGGCAGCATGTTCAAGGGCTCCGTCACCCTCAGAGTTCTTCCTCGGGTTCAGCTGGAGCTTCCTCTGCTTCAGTTTGTGCCCGTTGCCCCTTGTCCTGTCGCTGGGCACTGCTGGAAAGAGTCTGGCCCCATCCTCCTGACACCCACCCTTGAGATATTTATAAGCATTTATAAGGTCCCCTCTCAGCCTTCTCTTCTTCATGCTGAACAAGCCCAGCTCCCTCAGCCTTTCCTCGTAGGAGAGATGCTCCAGTCCCCTCATCATCCTCATAGCCCTGGGTCACCAACAATTATAAAATACCAGAAAACCAAGAAGTGATAATGAAAAACTGCACACACCCTCGAGAGGAGAGAGCGAGCAAGACGGCATGTAGCAGCCCTTCCTCCCAAACTGGCAGGCAGGCTGCTGGCAAACCAGGGGCGGCGGGTTACGTCCCAGGCTCTGTGGTGGGTCGAGCAGTGCGTACACCCCCCAGGTCCCCTGCAAACCGGCGCGAGCCACACTCTGCGCACACAGAGGCTTTTTTGGGCGCCCCGGCTGGCAAGGCAGTTCTGCGTTGCCGAGCTGCAGAGAGGGCGTCTGCACGGCCACGGCCACCCAGCAATGGCTTGGCACTCCGGCCAGTTAGCAACACTCAGGAGCCCAGTTTTGGGGCAGCGTCATCAAAGCTACACCCTCCCCGCAGAGCTGGCTCAGAGCACAGGCTGAGAGAAGTCGGGCGTGCCAGCAACGGCAGCGCATGTTTTACCTTGGCTGAGGTTCCAGCACGTCATGGATTCGATCCTTTGATTTGTTGTTTGCAAACAACCCAAAAAGGAGCACAGGCACTGAGGAGTTTGCTTTCCCTCAAAGCTTCTCGCACCTTTTGCCTGGGTGGTTGTGCCTTCCCTCCTCCCAGCCTCTCCATCCACGTGCATTGCTCCCACACCACGCTGCGCCCGCCTGCTTGTTTGTGGTCAGCCAGCGTGGTTCAACATGGCTTTATTAGAAAAAGACCTGGAAGAATTTGTGGTTCTTTTAAAACCTGCGGTGAGCCGGTAAGCGCTGTGTGCTGCTTGTAGGATGCAGCGCAGGGGACACGGCATCCTGCGGGCTGGGGGCTAGCCTGACACGGTCGCACACTGCGAGCCACCGCTGTGTCCAAAATCACCTTAAGTATTTCTTGCGCCCCAGAAAGCAGTCACCTGGCCGGTCCCCGCTGGCAGGTGACGAACAGGCTGGAGGCGCTCGTCTGGGACGACGGCACATCTCACATCACTCACTGGGCTCCAGGACCACCCCCTGCTCTGAATGGGTCTTCTGCCAACAAAAGGTGAGCGGAACTGGAGCAAGCAAAGCATTGCCAAGGGCAGGGATCCATTAGGGTGAATTTTCCTCTCTCCGTGATTCAGTGGAGCTGGTGCCACTGGCTCCCTGCCACTCAGCCAGTTGTGACCGCGGCTTGTGGACACACACCCGGCAACCCACTGCAAGAAGGTCAAGGAGAACCACAGAGCGGTGACACCACTCACCTCATTTTCGTATGAACAATTCCACGTGGTTTAACTTACACATTGTGGAGGTTTGAAACAGGTTTAAAGTCTCTCTTGAATTTTGAACATTAATTCCAACCTTACCTGAGTTGGAAATACCATTGTAAAGGGCTGCATTTTATTTTTGCTTGAAATAATGTTTTGTTGTCTTTCTAGCAACCACTTACGTTGTTTTCCATGGGTTTTTGTAGGATTTTTATCAGGGATGCAAAATTATATTTTCCCTAGCTGCAGTTGTGGATGAAATCAACTGTTTGCTCCCTGCAATTCTGAAAAACAGATTTCTACCATCTACCATTTTTACCCCCAAAGCACGGGCAATTTTGAATAATCCCAGAATAGCTTTGGACCTGGTTCCAACTTGCAAGACTGTCAGTGTCCTCAAAGTGGAATCAAATGCCCGTCCCTTGAGAGCTTCCATGTGACGATGGTGAAACACATTCTCAGAAATAAAAGTCATTCTGACCCTAATAAAATACTTTTTCAAAAAAACCACTCTAAGAGTTTAAAAAAACCTCAACAAACAGAAAGGTCATTTAGTGACATGGAAGAGAGAATTAGTACAAGGAGGCCTCAAGGAGAACAAAACACAGAGGTTTACGGAGCAGAGACTCCCAGCATCATGCTTCCCTGTGTCCTCCGTCCTGCAGTGCAACTCTTCCAAGCACGGCTGCATCACCAGACCTCGTTTGCTGAAGGCAGTCTTTAGGGAAAAATAATTGGGAACTTCTCTGCAGTTTCCTGGTTCTCTGGACCTCGCCTTAATGTTCCACCTCAGTACCAAGTGATGAGGTTGCTTCTGCTGTATGCTCCACAGGCAGATTCTAGGTGGAGAGTGAACACCCTTTCAGGCACTGCACAGCTGAAACGACATTCCATTTTCTCATCTAGCAGTACGTAAAGGCAATTTCCTGCAGCAGACATCATCAGACTAATGCACTGAGTTGCCATGGTTGGTTCCTTCGCCTCAATCCTAATGGCCCAAGTTGTGTAGAAGACCCTCAGAGCACACTCCTCAATTATTGATTAGGTCTGAATTGCTAGAATTAGTATGCTACTGGCATTTCTTTCCCCAGACCAATATCTGTGCAAAGCTTGCCAATTTTCCATTGCTTAATCACATTTTGATGTGTTGAAAAGTCACGCACGTACTTGCAACATTTCAGCAGTTTTTGCAGAATGACAGTCCTTTTATTTTCACTGGTTCAGTACACAGCCGCGTGATACACTGAAGCTAAGAAAAACGGGGGAGAATGATTCACAGTAAAGTTCTGAGAAATCCATTTCTTCTAAATCAAGGCAGAAACAATTCTCATACAGTCCGTGATCAGTGACTAAATTCTACGTTATTTTAAATTTACTTAGTACTATAAATAATCATTAGTGACTACACTACTATAACCTGAAAATAAGGAAGGGGCAAGATCTGATCTACATCTGTTTTATATTTATAGTGTTCATACTTGTATATTATTTTATATGCATACACCTGTACAAAACAACCACAAAATAAAACTGTGCTCACAAGAATAAACAGGGTATATTGTACAGCTTCTTAATCATGGCATACAGTAAAACTCGTATCACATCCTATAGGTTACGTGATACGTTAATAAATAGACAACTATATATTAAATTGCAAATTTAACAAAGAATTTTAAAAGAGGAAGTAAGATATTACATACGATGGGGCTGATTCACCATTACGGCTTTTACTCCAGTTTAAAATACTGGCACTTTCATGCCATGGGCAACTCAGAAGCACTAAGGTAAGGAATCACAGTCAGGACACACAATTCGGCAGAGCTGTAACATTTGAAGAGCAACCTAGATTTCTTTGAGTGCTTCATTTTGTAACCATGAAGTTGAATTATCCACATTTAGTTTCTCTGCCTGCCTGTTTCATCTATAGAGAAAAAAAATGTGCTTGTCTTCTGGCATTCACCAGCTCTGCTTCCTGATTTGGCAGTAAAGACTCAGCCTATCGCTTTGCCTTTGCTCTTTCACACCCAACCAGAGCCAAGCCACGGAAGCCCATGGCAGTCCTATGGGTCCATCCCACTTACACACTGGCCAATGTGTCGGCTTTTAATGACAAGCGGCACCCTAAGTATCTAATCACTCTATTTATAGAATTTAAAACTCTAAACTACTTTGTAACATTCATATATTTTTACCTACTGTTAAGCTGGCAAGTATGATTTAATTACAAGTCTGTAATCTACATAATAGCTTTTAAATCCCCTGAAGCCAAGATGTGCCATAATATTCATACAACCACACACCTAGTTGTACCTAATTCCTAATTTTGCAGTGTTGCAACTCTCCAGCAGTAAGTAACAGATATGTTTGTATGTACATATGTAACAGAAAAGGAGCAAACCCACTTTGTGGATGGACTTATGTCTGGTATTCTCATGCTCGCTTCTTACAGTTACATTAAAAACAGTCTCAGCAGAGGACTGCTGTGGGAAGAGAAGCACAAAATGCTGCTCAAGAACGTCTGAAGCCAGATGGCCCGGCAGGGAAGCAGTAATGTCGGACACAAAGGGATGCTTCTGATTGCTAGGGCTGCTTGTGCTTCTGTTGGTCATGGCTTCTCCAGCTACTCACAGAGCATGACGAGGTCTAATGGGGAAGCTGCATAACAGTCATAAAAACCGCTCTATGTGTCTTCTGCACCTGACATTTTGTCCTTGGAGCTTTGAAAGAGGCAGCAGGCAGCCATGGGGGGCTGAGGGGTTAAAGGCAGCTGGTGATTTTATGTCTGAGTTAGATTTAAAGAAACAGTATACTTCACACTGCAGGTCAATGTTTATTTTGCCACAGAACCATCAGAATCACCAACAGGGTGCCAGAGCACCTCTTTACTAATCTATCCCATTACAACACAGGACCACAATTTTCAAAGACATGTAGTTATACATCTGGCAACCACTTTTGTCCCCGTCACTTAATTAAAGTTTAGAAATGCTTTGGGACACACATACACACACACACTAAAAAAAAAAAAAAAAAAAAACTTTGGGACACACAAAAACCCACCCACACAAAAAAAAAAAAAAAAAAAAAAAGGCAATACAAATTCTTTGTCACTGTCAGAAACAGAAAGTGCCATGTAGTACATCATCGTTTCCTGGTCCCACTGTTGCCACTGGCAGACTTACTGAAACTTCTGCTCATCTGTGGGAAGTGCACAGTTGGGGTTCTTTCAGTGGGGCCATACAGCCCTAAATTCCTGGCTGTAGCTGACTTTCGAAGAGGCTTGACGCTGGGAAAGGGATTGAAGACTTGTGGCTTTGGGTTCCCAGGCTGGGGAGATTTAGCCAGGTTTCCACTGTCGCTGGAAGAGCTGGAGTACTCTGACAAACGTGGCTGGCCGGGCTGATGGGATGTTGACTCAGCATCGGTTTTGTTATCTGAGGTGAGTTCCAGCGCTTCCAGTTTGAGCTGAACCACCGACATGTTTGTACTGCTGTCCGTAGAGACTGGCTCAGGCGAGTGCCGGTCAGCTTCTCGAGCAGTCCTGTCATCCAAACCACCTCCTTCTCCAAAGTCAGAACGTTTGGAAGTCTCCTCCTTTGCTCCAGGACTGTTTGTTTTACAGCTCTCGCTCTGCTCATCTATTAGTCCTATGGTATCCCCATAGCCCAGCTGGCCTTTGGCCCTAGCAATATTCTTTCGATGAACTCGTATGTGAGTGCGCCATGGAGAGTTCAGTTTTGTTTTAAGATCTTCTTGTGGAACAGGGGACATCTTCCCTGTAGCATGACTTGGGATGTGAATAACAGCATTTCTGAGTGACCTGTTACTCAGTTTCATCTTCTTTCCTAAAAGGAGGTGGTTTATCACCGGGGAATGGTTTACCTGAGAAGGGAGGAGGCTGGTAACCGGCCCTTTGTCTGAAAGAAAGTGTTTAAAAGAAACACAGTATTGTTAAAGAACAAAACAGATTAACGTTCTAAGGGTCCACCACCAAATCTGATGCCCTTCTTCAGGTATAGTAAAGATTTGTAGGACTGACTGCTATAAAAAAAAAAAAAAAAAAAAATCACTGAATTCCTCTTACCTCTTGGAGTCTAACACAAAGCTGTCACTTCTATAATAAAGATTTCCTGTCCTCCCTCCCAGCTTCTTAACTATGGGTAAGTCCTGAGCCAGGAACACCATAAAAATAAATCATAAACAGAAACAGCTTCTTGACTTTTGGAATTGCACTGTAACTGATAGTTTCACATTAATGTTGGCTTCTGATCTTTCCTCCCTCCTTCATTTCTCTTCCAACTGTGAGAGACAATTCAGTCCCTGTATGAGGTCAGTCAAATAAGCCACTCCACGAGGCTTGTGTGACTGGAGAAAGAACCAATGTATTTTTAATGGGTGAACCACACCAACTCTTTTCTATTAGGTCCTCTTATTACACCAGAGCAGTAGACTCAGAATTAGGTAATTAGATGACAGTTTGATTAAACCACAAACCCAGCCCCACATCATAATTAGTAAGATTAGAAAGGTTTCTGTTTGGGGAGTGGGGGTTGGCAATCCTTGGGAATCAACATTTTCCTGTTTGCACTGTTTCTGCTGGCTACAGCCTTTGTTCAAAGCAAATACTTTGCCAATATTTAAAAAAAAAAATTTCCTTACAAATGATGTTAACGTTAATGAAAAATTGCAGCTCTGTGCATTCAAACGATCCTGCTAGGACAAGTTTAGACACTCTAGCAGAGGAATAAAAATTCTCCAGTGACCCATCTGCATGGTTCAATGCTGACTTAGAAAGATGACACCTAAGTGGGGAGGAAGGAGTGGAGTGGGCTGTGGTCTGAGACCCCCAGCTGCACTGTTCAGGCTAATCCCAACGTTGCTGAGTTTGCCAGTTGGGGAAATGGACTCCGTAACACAGACTGCTAAATAATGGCCTGATGTCCAGCTCAATCCTCACAGCAGTATCGTTCTGGCTAGGTAAACTGTCAGCCACTATGCAACGTCTAAGCCAGTTCTTCAGCTGCGTAATTTGCGATGCCCAGAAGAATTCAGAGGAGTTAGGATAACACAGATCAGCTAGCAATCCACCTGCCACTTGGCCTGAAGTGTACTCATCTCATCTCACTTTTTCCAGTGCATCAGTATGTCAACTCCAAGAATGCCAAAGATTTAAAGTTTTTAATCAGAGAGAGCAACACAATGCACCCAGATAGCAAAGACATTTTTAAATACCATTGTTCAGCTGGTCCCCGGGACCTAAAAAAATCCCAGGGTTGTCATCTTCAGATCCTGACAAAAGAAGAAAAAACATCACCTTCTCATTTACAATCTGCCTGTATCAAGTGGTACCCACTGTACTACTAAAGTGTTCTATATTCCATCAGTCCCTCTTGCTTTGTCTATTTGGTTAAACATAATGTTATTTGCCTTGTCTCCTATGATGAAGTTAGCTTGCAATAAATCAGTAAATGAAGCATGTTTTGATATGTTACCTGCTCTGATATACACATGGTGAACCTGCTGTTGCTGTTTCTTCTTTATCCTGGAATATTGCTTTTTCAGTGCATTAATATCTGTGGTCATACGCTCCATCATCATGCTGTTAAAAGCAGCATGGTACTCGCTTCGGCAAGAGTCTATTGCTCCTGGGCTTAATTCTGCAATGTTACTGGAACCCAGACTTTGTTCTTCATTCTGATCTGCAGAAAGTGGGAATAAAGTGGAGATGAGGAGTAAATTGGCATACTCAAAAGTTTCGCAGATTATCTACAAGGGAAGTCTGTGTCTGATTCCCATCTTCTTATTTAACTGTAGTTTTTAATTAAAAATTTATTATAATATGCATATTTAACAAAGCCGCACTATTTATAACGAGAATTAGTGCATCTCTAGAATTACTGCTTAAGAACAGCAAGGGTTTGAGGGGAGTTTAAAGAGTATAAAAGTCAATTAACATGGCAAGGCAAAGTTATAAACACAGTTCTTCAATTACCCCAAAAGCACATCAAGCCATTGCTAAAGCAATTCAGAAACTGGTTATTACAAACACTCAGTTGGTCAGAGGAGACTAACAGTGCAAGTCGTAAATTACATTACAGTCAAGCAGGCATGAGATTGAACAACCAACCTAGTGATATCAGGAAGAAGCATTAAGAAACAGTTACAGCACCCCGGGGAGAAAGCTGCTAGCAGCAACAAAAGGGATAGGGGCAGAGCAGCTGAGGATCAGGCAGCTTGAGAACATCTCTGATCAACAGCTGCAGAGCAACAGCAGCAGTGTGGTTTATTTTCACAGCTGTTTCTGATGCACCACCAAACTGGCACTCCAGGGTCAAGGGGATAATTCTTTTTCAAGGGATGTTTGTTTGTCTCTGCTTAGTTTGCAACAGCAGTTTGATGTTCTGAATAACTGCGAGCTTGAAGCAGCAGGTAGGGACTTACAGCCCCTCAGGAAGCGAAAAACAAAACACCAGAGCAATCAAGAGGAAAACTGCAGCTTACAGGTCTCAGCAAAACCAAGCCACAAGAACGATGATGTGTAATCAGGTAACAGCGACCACTACATCAGTCAGGGATTTTTTCGGGGGAAGTGAGGGTGCTGGTTGGGGACAAATAACTACAGCTCCTCCCAGGATATCATAAAATCACTGTTGATCCAGTACCATTTCATTAAGGCTGTTGCAAGTTAACAAATGATCTGCTTTTCTTGTATGGATCAGAGTTTTGTTCCGCTTGCAGAGCTTGCACAGGGCAACATACAATTCTGTCAGAAATTTTATTTCAGCATGGAGGGATTGGAAAAATAGTGACATTTTGTCAGAGCACCCTAAACCACAACCAACTTGTAAAAAGATGTGAATATACCCAAAACATACAACTGTCTGAAGGTCTGGCCAAAAGGGGAGTGAAATAACCTGCAGGATTTACTCACTGCTGACAGGTTCCAATATCAGCCATGCATATCCCAGCAAAGGTCAAAATTATTTACTACACGTATACTCTTCAGAAAATGCTGACCACCTAACAGCTTTCTTGGAAATAATCATGGATTTAGGGTAGACCTTTTTCCCCACACATGTGCTGCTTCTTTATCTGGCTGTGCAACAATATGGGCTTGGTTTTTTAACCATTACTGTAGCCAAATCCTTAACCCACACTGCCATTTACTGTATACACACAGCCTTCAAGCTTGACTTTGAAGACATGTTCACGAACCGCAGAGGAAGTCATTTGGTATCTACTGTAATCTTTACAGTAATAAAAATACTCTATAAAACAGTTTTCATAGCAGCTTTCACAGAGGAAGCTACAGATGATTTCTGCAAGGTCATGCAGATTTAACTACGTTTTCCAAAATGAACAAAACCACTTTTACCTTTCATCTGTTTTTGGTATTTTTGGAGCTCTGGTACCAAAAACCCACTTAATGGTCCAAGACAGCCAATGGCATTGGCAATTGAGTCTTCATCATCTAGGTCATTCTCCTCATCACTGTCTCTAGCTCTACCTAGCCTTCTGTCAAATGAGAACATAAGGGAAATAAGAAAGAGACATTCTTAAATACGAACACCACCAAACATCTTTATCTTCTTTAGGAGCATAGAAGGGAAGATGCCACCTGCCTTTTCACTGTCTGTGTAGGGTAAACAATAACCCCATACGCCACAAGCAGTGCATTTCAAACTTACCCTGAAAGTGAAGTTGATTTTACTGCTGCTGGGAAAGGAGTGATGTTGTATGTGTATTTTTCCCTTAATTCTGCCAGTTGTGGAAAGGGAAACTGAGCCATGGTATAAACAGTCTAGGGGAAAAAAAAATACGCAGCTTTTAAAATTATCACTTTAACTAACAGTCCCACAAAAGGCTTCTCCATGAACAGACTTTCACAGTCTTGCAGGATTAAAGGCTGCACATTCTCATATGCTGTAAGAAAATGGAAATGGTCTACTTTTATGATTCAGTCAATATTTCCTGTGAGAAAAATAAAGACTGACTCACTAGAAAAATACATGGTTCAGAGAAAAAAAAAATTGAACTGATAACATGAGATGTAGGGTCCTTTTCAACTCCTGTACTTATCTAATAATCGTTGTCAATCCTCTCCTTGCCAGCACACCGGAAATACTTCTCCTCCAATTACAATTTCGGTTACGTGAATGCATCATTGAGGTTTCGGGGATCTTGCACAAGACCTACATTTTTGCTCCAGTATTCAACAAGGTATTGACACCAGCATAGACACGAAGGAGCAGGTCCTCACTTGATGTGGACTGTTAACAGATCCATTACTTCAACTGAGCAGCCCCAAGTGCTTGTGTGAAAGCACTCACTTCAACACAAATGTTCTGGCCTAAGACAAAGGACCCAACATTATCCACTTAACTTTTCTCCTTTTTCCTCTCAGTTTCTGGTTTTGATTGTTGTTTTGTGGTGGGGGTTGTTTTTTTTTGGGGGGGGGGGGGGAACCTCTCTGTGACTCTCTGAACTCAACGTGTAGTTCATAGAACTTAAAATAAGGCCACAGAAAATTCTAATACATTTTATTTACTTCAATATTCAGAGTTAAAGATGATAAATAGTTGTGAATAGTTGTGAATGCATTTGCTTTCAGCATTCTTTCTGCTTTAAATAACTTTGTAAATTTTGCTGACACAGAATGTGTGTCACTGGCCAACTGGACATAAAGACATGTCGTACTCATTACAATATCACTGCTGGCTTGTTCCTACCTATTTTAGTTGTGCTTTTTTTCCCCCTACTTTTGCACACTTACAACTATCCAGGACTTTCAAGTAACTAACACACAGTTGACTGGAAGTCTCAATTTCAGAAGTAAAAAGAAAAAAAAACAGCTGAAATATCATTTCTTACAGTTTCTCTGAAAAATCACAGCTTTTCCCCATCTTCAATATTAAATGTCTTCTGAAATACAGTAACGTAAAAATTTCTCATTAGCCACGGCAGAAAATCTTTACTTCTATTTTTTAAGTCAGTGACTTTTTCATTTGAAGGCAAACAGCCCCACTTAAGATGAAAGGAAATTTTGAACAATTTCTACATAATCCATTCTTGAACCGTGCCTTGTCTGTCCTAAATACACTAAGGAAAATTGCAAACATTAATTCAGTACTAGACCTTTCCTGACAGAAGAAGCATAAAAAGTGTTTCAGCAACAGCAATGATGTAAGGAATGAGGAGCAGGAAGCACACTCCTGGCTGGATCGGGCACAGGGCAAGAGACCAGCTCAACAGGCTTCTGTGTGAAAATGCTTTTACAGTTCAAGCCATGCACAGACTTTCAGGCAAGCAGAATGCCTACAAAAGCCCAGAGCATGAACTGAAGTTTTGCCACTCCAGGAAACTACAATGCTACCGTGAAAGACAAATACTCTCTAGGGCCTGAGCAGCAATATCCCAGCAGTCTACCAGACGAAGGAATTTTACGATCTGGAGAATGACCCACCTCCGGCCCAACATGTCTGCCTGTTTGTTTGATCTCCACCACACTTTCCTGTTTTTTTTTCCCCACATGTCTCAACTCTCTCCCTTCATAGAGAAGGAGGTGTGTCTGGAATTTATTTCTAGTCTTTATGTCAACAGCCTTTTCAGGTAACTTGTTCCATATGCTAGTTACCCTTTCAGTGAAACAGTCAACTCCGAGTCCCCCATTTACTCCTTGCATCTACTGTTTTAGATTATGCTTTTAGCTTTTGCCTGTCTCCAGTCTCTTCCAGATCCTGTGCAATTTCTTTCAGTTAGCATATATGTTTTTAACTTAATTACTTGTTATCAGATTATATCTGGAAGCCTCGCTTGCCACCTGGCTAAGAGATCCACAAACAAATTTAATGCTGATGCAAGTTCCACTGGAAATTAAAAAAAAATATTGTCAATCAATGCCTGTGATCTCCTCGCAGCAACACTTCAGTGTCAAAGCATCCAGTTCCTAGTTTGTACACAGCCTTGGGTGCCATTTGGTGAATTCTGGTGAAATTGTGCCAAAGGGAAACAGCATACACATACGAAGGATGATGCAGCCAAGCTTACTATCTTATTCATGGCCATAAGGGACAGATTCTGGGAACAAGAAAAAAGCCAAGGAAAAAAACACTGTTCTCACCTTAAATCAGTAGCATTTGTCAATCCTTTGCCTTACCCTAAAAATGCAAAGCCATCTACACCCTCATCAGAATACCACACAGCAGGCTTTGGGCTGTGGCTTCCAACAGAGGGTGAGCAGTTTTGCCTTTGCAGACAACTCAAACATACTTCTCTCAAGAGCCACCCCACAACAGTTTAAAGCTCCCCTTTCTTCTCACTTTCACTAAGAAAACAAAACAAAAAGCAAAACCAAAAACAAACCCAAAAGAAAACAAAGTGCTACCCAAGTAGAAAGTCAACAGCGAATACCATCAAATCAGGGTAACTGTCTGGTAGAGATAGTTTAAAATGCGAGGGTACTGCAGAGGGGTTAATCCCTGATCCCCTCTACCACAGCAAACACACAGGGATGCCACTCCTTCTCCTGTTTGCTCCTCATCTCCTCTGTGCTGGAATGTTTCTAGGCTTATAAACTGAATTAGTTTAGCTGCTTATAAAAACACTTGCTTTCTGAGAAGGCATGAAAGCATGTACTCAATCTAGCACACGCTGCTTAGAGTATCTGCAGGCACCTGGCATACAGCCTTCTGTCTCCATCTTAGAACCAAAGTTTATTAGTAGGCCAATAAAATTACATTATTGAATACCGTATTTGTTTAACTTCTAGTCCTGAATACATACTCGGTCTAGCATCTGTTGCGTACAGCACTTACCCTTTATTTACCTAAACTGTTCAATCTGAAAAGGAGGAAGCTGTAGGCTTGCTTGCTCCTCCAATCCCTCCATGCTCTCCTCAACACAACAGTGTGAGAACCCTTGCCACACAAGAGCCAAATCTGCAACAGCGTTAAGCCCTCGATCCTAGGTACATGTCCTGTCTGTATGGGAGGGAGGCAGCCATTTTTAATTATAAACTTTCACCAACTATACACAATGGTGGAGAGAACGAGGACAACAGTCCTCTGATCTGCTTTAGACATCTGCTCCATCAACACTTGCCCCTGAAGTGGCACCTCCCTCCCAAAGGAAAGACGTTTTTTAGAGCACAATTTGTTTTCTAGTCATGAAGAAGTGCCTGTAACTCTTCGTTGGCTTAAGTGAGCCTGGACAGGTAGTTCAGATGAAAATGTAAGTGTCACATAAGTCTAAAGAAAAGTGAGATGATT